GGCACTAAGTTTGCTGTGTACGCAGTCAGTGTTTGTTCTGCAAGCGTTTTAGATAGCCTTGATTGAAGTCGCTCTGCTTTTCACAGACCGGGCTTGCTTTGTTGTTGGTCTGCTTTGAAGTAAAGCACGTCGCCGTATCAAGCATAGCGGTGTGGCTTATCAGGTTTGTTAAACAGTGGCCAGTTACATTTGCTTATGTTATGGCCTGTGGCTGGCCGTATGCAGATAAAGCCAAGCCCTGGGACGCTAACGGCTGTACTGGCATCTCCTGCCCCTACCAGTGTGCTTTTGTTATATGCCAAACCAGTGCTGGGGCCTGGATTAAACTGTCACTTTGATCGCTGGGGTGATCCTTCTGGGGTGTGAGTAGAACCTGGTGTTGAAGACAGTTAGCTAGGTTTCTCTTTCTTACTGCAATTCATCCCGAGTTTGCTCTTGCCCTTGGAGAGTGCTGCTGGACCCTCTCACAGGAGGTCACTGGAGGTCTCGAGCTCAGCCTCTACTAAGAGCAGATCCATTAGATCAGGTTGCTTGGGGCTGCATCCAGTGGAGAATTGAATATCTCCATGGAGAGAGATCCTTCACCCTCTCTGGATCTCTGTTTCAGTGCATGACCACCCTCAGGGTGAGAGTTTTTCCCTAATATCTAAGCAGAACCTCCCTCCAGGTATGCTCTGACAGGTGCCAAACAGAGGGGAAGGATCACTCCCCTGGCCCTGCTGGCGGTGCTCGTGCTCGCACAGCCCAGGAGGTGGTCGACCTCCTCCTCAACTTGTCCACCGAGCCCTCCACAAGGCCTTTTCAGCAAAGTTGCTTTCTAGCCACTGGAGTTAGTCTGTCCCAGGTGCGGGACTCTGTGTTTGCCTTGGCTGAACTGCAGGAGGTTCCCTTCAGCCCGCTCCTGCAGCCTGTTGAGGGCCCTCAGAAGAGCAGCCCTGGCCTCCAGCACGTCGACTGCTCCCCCCAGTTTTGGTATTATCGGTGAACTTGCTGCACTCTGTCCCGTTGTCCAGGTCGTTAACAAAGACGTTAAGCAGTATTGACCCAACCAGTAGGCCAGATCAAGGCTCGAATCATCTCTTGGCAGAGCTCACAATTGGTAAGGAATTGGCTTTACCACCCAAACGGGCCGAGTGCGAGGGCTGGATAACATCGTGGCTCATCCGCCTTTATCAGAGGTAGCTCCAGCTGTCTGGAGTGTTTCCCTCGCCCAAGGGCTTCGCAGAAGGTGTCGGTGGGATTGGGACTGGAAAGCTGTTAATCTGTCTGCATCCTCTGGGTTTTGGCAACGGTGTGCGTCGTTGTATGGAGATAATTGTACTGCAGATGCACCAACGTTGTATGCGCCCAGGGACGGTGGCTGTCTCAGCCAGAATTTGAAGAGCATCCAAACTAGGGTAGTGCTATCCGTGTGCTAAATAAATCTTTGGACCGTGCCTGAGCATCCTACTGTCTTGTCTTTTGCTTGCCCAAATCCCCCCGCTTTCCCTTTTATAAAAGACGGGTGCTGGTGGCAGTAGCTTTTCCCTGTTTCCTGGCACGTGATTGCTGTTCTGGGCGAGATGGGAGCCAGCTCCCTGCTATAAATGAAACGCAGCCGCTCTGAATGCCGGTCTGAGGCCAGGTTTTAGGCGAAAGCGGGCAGGGCTTCTTTGTGTCACATAAAAATCTCTTGCTTGCATAATGAAGTTCAGCCTCAGGTCTAAATGCCTCTCCCTCTCCTTCGTGTGTGGCTGTCTTCTGCTGCCATGCAACGCGCTAGGGAA